ATCCACCATGACTCTTGAAGACTTGACCGGTTCACTCTTGACATATGAGTTAGGGCTTCAAGAAGAGCAAGACGCTGAGACTGTAAGGCGAGAGAGAGGAATTGCTCTAAAAGCTCGAGAAGAGGAGGAAGAATCCGAAAGTGAATCGGAAGATGAGATGAGCATATTTGCTAGACAATTCGGGAAGATGTACCGACGGTTCAAGAACAACCGGAACAAACAAGGTAAAAATAACTTTCAATCTTTTCATAACCAAGGCTGTTTTGTTTGTGGTTCCCTTGAGCACAGGGCTAAAGACTGTTCACAAAAGAAAAATGACCGGACCTACGACAAGAACAAGTCCAGTTCTAACCGGAGGTCCAGCAAAGACAAAGGGTTCAAAAGAGATCTCAAAAGGGCAATGATGGCAGCATGGGGAGACTCATCCGATGACGAAGAAGAGGAGAGTGATAAGAACTCTAACCATACAGGTCTATGTCTTATGGCACACTCCGACGAGGAATCCGACCAAGAGAGCTTCGAGGTAAACTTTGAAAATTTTCTATCTAAGTTTGACTCTCTATCCAAAACCAAAGCCCGGAAAATTTTCAAAAGATTGACTATTGAGCTTAATCAAAACCTTTCTGAAAATGATCATCTTAAATCACAAATCACTGAGCTTGAGTCTAAACTCGAGGAAGCCACGAGAGCCAAGATAAGGCTTGAAACAAAAGTGGGAGAGTTAATAGATGAAAGGCTTAAGTACAGTGAAGTGGTTTTAGAACAAGATCAAATCATTTGCTCTCTTAAGCTCGATAGTATGAACAAACAAGTTAATCATGATGAAAAACTTCTCTCAAAAATTCCGAGCGTTGGTACTTTGATTGATCATCTTCATCGTCTTGTTGCCGAGTGTACAGATTTTAAAAATAGACCGGAATACCAAGCATATAGTGCTACGAACAAAACCAGGTCTAGACCTTATTCTGGAACTGGTCCCCCTCGGCACAATAAGAAGGAAAACGAGACTGCTGGTCTCGGTTATATTCCAAGGAACACTCAACCTAATAAAAAACCTGATTTTCAGAACCGATCCTTTAATGGAAATAGAACCAGAGGACAACCCAGTTCTAGACCATATCAACAACCACCTAGAACTGGACCAAACTGGTTCGATAGACTGGTTCAGAGGCACAAAAACGGTTATGGACAAACGCCAAACCAAACTTTTCATAAGAAAACAAGAGGCTTTTATGGTAAGTGGAAACCTAAATACGTTGATACCTATGACAACCGAGTTTGCATGCATTGTGGCAAAATCGGGCATCTTCGGTATCAATGTCACTCTCGACAAAAGACCTTAGAAAGATGTTTTGACTATGTTCGATATCCATCCTCAAACAAATACAAAATGGAACCCAAGCAAGTCTGGGTTCCACGGACTAACCCGTGATTCAGGAACAGCGCCAAGTGAGGGGGAACAATCACTGGTTCCTTGACAGTGGTTGTTCTAAGCACAGGACTGGAGACTCATCTTTATTCCTCTCACTTCGGCCATTTAGTGGTGGGAAGGTGATATTTGGAGACAAAGGCAAAGGAGAAATTGTAGCCGTGGGAAAAACCGGAAAATCACCCAACCATTCAATTGATTTTTTTTAAGGTTTTAAGTTCAATTTGCTAAGTATCTTTCAATTCTGTGACAAAGGTAACAATGTTATTTTTAATAAAGAGTATGTGCTTATAATTGTTGATGATTTCTCAAGACATACTTGGACTATCTTTCTTGATAGTGAGAAAGATACTTTTAATGAGTTTGTTATTTTTTGTAAGAAAAGTTGAGCATCAAACAGGGCAGCAATTAATTAAGACTCGTTCGGATCATGGGACCGAATTTGACATTAAGCTCCTTGATACATTCTGCCAAGAACAAGGGATAGACCACAACTTCGCTGCTCTTAGAACGCCTCAACAAAATGGGGTGGTAAAACGGAAGAAAAGAACACTGAAGGATATGACTAGAACTATGTCAATCTCTAGCGCAAAGAATTTTTGGGCAGAAGCTCTAAACACGGAGATTGCACCAATTCCATGAGCAAGGGGGAACTAATCATGAAACTAATCGCCATAAGGAGATAGAAGCAGGAACTGACGATAACGTGCTTAGAACTGAGGATATCCACTGCCAACCAGACTGAAGAACAGGCAGATCCAGTTCCAGACGACTCGTAGGAAATTGAAGACTTCAAATGCTCATAGAGGATGGAAACTTCATCAATCACATCCTTTGGATAACCTCTTGATTAACCTAAATCAGGGAGTAACTACTAGATCTAAACTTAGAAATTTTTATTCCTTCTTTGCTTATCTATCACTTATAGAACCGGAGAACCATGAAGTGGCTCTCTCCGAAACTGACTGGTTCTAGCAATGCAGGAAGAACTAAATCAGTTCGAGAGAAATAAAGTGTGGCATCTAGAACCGAGACCCAAGAACAAGACCAAGATAGGTCTCAAATGGGTATTCAAGAACAAGCTTGATGAACATGAACAAATATGGATGGAACTTGGGTTCATCAAGGCATGAACTATCTTTCCTAAATTTATCTTTTATCTTTTATCTTTCAAGCTATTTATTGTTTTGTTGGTGACAAAAGGGGGAAGAATATGTGCCCTATGTGTTCTATGCTCGATACTTTGGGCTTATTCATTATGAAACTAACTTTAGGGCACCAAGTGTTTGTCATCAACAAAAAGGGGGAATTTGTTGGAACGTATTGTTTTGTTGATGACAAACGACTAGTGTTACTTTTGGTTGTAAGTGACTACATGAAAAGAGTTTAAGTCGTGCTCTGGAACAAGCCGTAGAACTGGTCCGAGAACTGCACCGTAAATCCAAGATTGATTAATCCGGCTTGCTTAAAATATCTTTTCTCTCCATTTAATTTCGGATCTATCTTGCTAAATTAAAGAGAACCTTTTAAGCAAGAAAATAATCAATGATCATACAAAGAAAGGATTTTTTTCTTTAAAGGAAAGTTATTTAAATCAAAGGCATTAATTAAGAGATATTTCTACAAAGCAAGTTTCCAAAATAATTGTTGTTATTCAAAATTCAAAAAGGATTTTCGTGCATATCTTCTCACAAGGAATGTTTCCTTAAGAAAAATGATTTCCTTCAATCAAATAAAAAGAATATCTTTTAATACCTATAAGGAAATATTTTTGAATGATTTCCATGCAAGAGGACCGAAATATATATGGAGATCCGAGCTATTAAAGATAGTACATCAAGTCCTGATCTTGCCCATCTAAGAAGACCGATCTCAAAGGAAAGAATCTGTTGAGTATGTAGTTTTATTAATGACTAACTATGCAGGTGGAACAGCGGACGGAACCGCTCTCAGTTCCATACGGAACGGAAGACAAAATTATTCTTAATTGTATTCTGTGTGAACGGTTGATTTACATGGTGTATGATTTAATTAATATGTGCTTTCCTTATATGAGTGCTTATACTTTGTCAAGAATATTATTTTAAGCAAAAATATATTTTCATGCATGATTTATTATTATAGCTTATTATTTTATGGAAAGAATCCTTAATTGATTAGCTAGTTGATTGTGCATACCTATTTAACAAATATTCTCCTGCATATTATTTGAAATATGATCCGTTGCATGCTTGCATAGTTTAAGTGAATAAATAACTTCCCTTGATATGTATTGATATATATCTTTGTGGAATTATTACTAAATGGTTGATCACATAATATGCTCTATACCTTTTTGACTTGCTCATGGTATGCACGTATCCTCCTGCTCCCATATATATGGTTGACCAAGGACCATCATAATTAAGAGCTAGAAGATCCTTAAATAAAAGGAAAGCATTTTGAATAATTTCAAGGCAAGTTCCTCAACCATTCAAGGAAAGAAGTGTCTCAACGGATCCATTCCTAGTTGACTATATAATCGAGATCAAGAAGAAGAAGCAGGGTGTGCTTGACCGAGAAAATATCAAGAGAGATACTCGAGAGAAATACAAAGTTCAAGGCACCTGAAACTGCTCCCGGAGTTCTAGACAGAGTTCTTATTCTCTTCCTATATTATAATTGGGTTATTGAGGATTAGCTAAGTGTAGCTTCCTCGGGTTGGGTAACGTGTGTTGTGAGAGCTTTGTTGTAAAGCTGAGAGGCTCTCTACCCGCAAGGTAGAGAAGCGTAACTCTTCCTAGAGAGGATAGAGTTGGGGTGGCTCAAGGGTAGACTAGGAGAGTTTCCCTTGTAATCATTCAAAGGCTTTTTAGTGAAGTTGTTAAAATTCCTCCGAGGGAGGTCGAGGTTTTTTAATCCCTTTGAGCCAAGGGATTTTTCCTCGTTAAATCCTTGTGCACTTTACTATTTCGCAATACCCTTCACCCCGCACTAGAACTGGGCGAAAAACTGCCACGGTTCCACACACACAATTCACCCCCCTCTTGTGTTGCTAACCGTTTTCATCATCCTAACTACTTAATATTTATTTGTGACGGTCGAAATACCGAGTATAATTTATAATTACAAAATTAAAGCACGTACGTAGTATAACTTGTAACACACATGGTAACAACTTTGTATTGATTTTTATTATATACTTCGTATATAAAACAATATCAGCAAAAATAACCAATAAATGTTTTGTTATAAATTACTCTCTCGTTCCACTAACAATGAGTCAAGAGGGAGTGACACACAATGTATGTTTTGTAAAATCTCTCTATAGTTAAGGAGGCTATTGACATGCAACACTTACCTAAAAGGTGACAACTCCCGTACCTTTCTAAAAACAGGGGTACTGTACCTAGCATTCATTTGATTGGACCACATCACTTTATAAATTTTAATTTAGATTTAAATAATTCAACTGCTACCTTTTTATTGGTCCATGTGGACAAATGTATGGTACCTTATGGGTACCGTAGAAACTAGTTACCTAAAAATGCATCTATCATCAACCTACGATCATGCACGTACGTATACGTACCAGGGCTAACAACATGTCTGTTAGTAAGAATAATTCCACGGCGCTTATCGACAACAAAGCCAGTTGCGGTTGAAGAACCAACGGACTCGGTGTCGAAACTTCGGCAAGCTGTGACGTGGATCGCGACCACCGCCTGAACCACCTTGTTCACCGCCCTTTGCCACTCCTCGGCTGTAGCAACCTTCTCCGACGACGACGACGATCCAAACTTCTCCGACGAATTCCCCATCCCGATGAACTTAATTATTACGTACTTTGCTCGTTACGTTGTGCTAATGTGGTTTGATGCTGAACTTAAATTGAGGCAGTGACTAATTTATACTGGACGTTGGTTTAGGTTGCTTAATGCTGAGGTAAAGTTTTTCACAAATTACACTTCAATTCTCTACAAGCTACATGCACTACTGTTAATAAAGTGCAAGATAACTCCATAAGCAATCAACGTCCATTCAAGATTCTCATGTGCGCCGTAAGTATTAAGCCATGCGGCCATGCGGGCCTGTTTGGACAAAAATTAGAGAAAATTACCATAAGTATGACTAAGAGAGGTGTTAAATGTTACTCCGTAATTCCTAAAATATGACTAAATAGTGTTTTATTTCTAAATTAAAGGCGTTTTCCATCATTCCATGTATGATATGTTTTTTGATGTTATAAAGATATGTTATATATATTGCACCATTTGCACGGAAACGCGAAAATCATGAGAAAACGGAAAACGAGAAACGTTAACTTTTGCTCAAAAAACGCTTAGCTTGTTTGAGAGTTTCCAAAGAGTTTCCTTAGAGTTTTCGAAACTGAAACGTACTCTTCCCCGAGAATTTCCGTGCTACATAGAATATATGTTTAAGTGTTTTTTTATAGTAAGACGTGTTTAAGTTTGTTGGTCATATACGTGGTATATTTAATTTTAAGAATCTAAGAATGTTTTAGTCATAGGTAAATAGATTTCCCCAAAAATTACTAGCTTAATTAAATTAGCTAGAGATTTTTTTTATTGTAATTAGCCTGAGAGTTACGTTGGTCGGGTGATTGAAAGGGTGATTAAACAAAATAATTCATAATTGTGCCAGCTTTACGGGACATTTACCTGTGAGACTGTGACATTTATACTCCGTAGAATAAATAATAAATAATATAACAGCATAAAGTCAGTTCGTATATCGTGGGAGCAACCCACCGTGAGCATGCTGCTCCCACAGGAAAAAACGCGTGTTACTGTTCAAGCGGGTGAACAATTTTTTTTTTCATTATCCAGTTGCAGGGGATGTAACTCACATGTAAAGAAATGTAACTCACGTTGACATGAAATGTAACTTCAGGCGTGTAAATGTAACTTGTCTAATACGAAATACTACGTATTAGAGATAAAACATTGATTTCAATATAAACAATGAGAGTAATCTTATTACTCAATTACGTTACAATCTTATTGCTGATTTACTTTACGTAAATAGTGAATATGTTTTGTTTTAATTAAATATTAAAGTCATAAAAAATGTTTTAAAAACATTTTTTTGCCAAAAAAAATTGCCAAAAAAATGATTTTTTTAATTTCAATAGCAGGGGTTTATTTTTTGATGTACTACCTCTGTCCCGCTAAGAGTGTCCCATTTTATTATTTCGGTCCGTCCCACTAAGATTGTCTCAAACCTTAATTGGTAAAGTTTGTGTGGCTCTAATCATTCTTACGTTATTCTTACTTTATCAATTCGATATCAACCACATAAACCACTTTTTACAGATTTGTGTGGCACTCCCTCTTGTCCCATTGTTAGTGGGACGGAGAGAGTAACTTATGTTATGAAAAATATAACTCTCATTGACGAAAAATTTAACTTAGATGTTTGTAAAATGTAACTTGTTGTTAAGACATGTCCAAATGTAAATCGCGCATAGGAAGATGTAACTCATTCATAACAAAGATGTAACTGATCACACATGCACAATAGGATGTAACTGCATATACTATCACATGTAACTTCAGAAAGTGTCTGTAAACACAACTCACACATATGAAAAATACAATCTCATGTTTTATCAAATTTAAATTGAAATAAACAAACTTGAGTCTTAAAAATATTACAAACATATAAAAGGGACTAGTTATACGATGCGCGTTGCGCAATGGGAAAATGCCCAATTGATAATTGTAGCTATAATATTAGAATATGTTGATAGATTACACAAGGGAAACATTGAATAGTTATATACTATTGTAAAATTTACAAAGATGCATACAAAATTGTTTATGCAAACACTATACGTGTACAATCCTCTATCAAAACAATAGCAAAGGCACAATTAGCCACTCATGTATCATAGGTACAGACACGCACGACTCCAGCCCCCGACCTGGTGGTCCTGAAAAAATTATCAAACCTGAGATGTATATTTCCAGCTGATTCACTTGCCAGTCCCGGTTGGTCCTAGTTAATACGGAGTACTTTTTATTCCTTTTGTTTTAAACCTTCCAACCCCTCCCCACCCCTTTTATATTTTAAATAACCCCCACCCCTTTTAGGTTGATTCATGATTGGGGTAATGCAAAAAAATGGACCGTATCTGCCGATCCAGCCCAAAAAGTGTGGTTGGGACCCGCCCCCCTTTAACCCCCGGCTCTCAGTCCCATCCCGGAACCTTAATTTTTGGCCCCGGTTTAAAATTGGTCAGTCCTACCGGTCCGGTATCAGGATCTGAACATTGTCCATCCTTGATGTATGAAAACCACAATTAAAACTCTACAACCCAAGTATCTAAAATTAATACAAAAGCATTGACCTGGGTGTATGATACATTCATTTATGAAAATATGGATAATAGTGGATTAGTAGAATAAAAGGTTCAAAAAAATTCAAAATATAAGTCTATAAGGAAGAATCACATGATGAAAAAGAGACTTTGATTTAAAAAAATAACTTAAACTTTGATAGATTCGATAGATTTAGTGATAAAAATACACAAAATCCAGTGATTCAATAGGAAATCAGATAGCTATCTACCACATTGCTGAGCCACTTGCTTTCTATGATTGTATTTCTCACCGTTGGGAAATTTTGTTTGAGTAAATGATGTGCGAGCAATTTAATTAAGAGTAAGATTTCGTTAGCAATTTTTATTCCAAAAAATAAACATACAATCTATACCTAAACAAAAAAAATTCAACAGTCTTGGCTAGGGGGTCTTCATCTATCCTTCCAACGAACAATTTCCAAAATCCGCACTTGAGCATCCAAATCTTTGTCTCAGTCTAGGAAGGTTCTGTTGGGTGTGTTTTGGAAAATAAAGAAAATTAATTAAAATAAAACAATTAAATAAAATGACTAGAGAAAAACAAGAAAGGAGATAAAGCAGAATTAGCCAAAGCTCGTGCTACGCACGATGTCCTCAAAACGTATTTGTTGCCTCCCACGGTGCTAGGAGCGTTGCAACAATCGTTTCCCAGGATACGATGACTACGAACTAGTGTTTGAGCACACAAACAAGAGTTCCAGCGAACGAGAACACAGTATGAACACTTAGGGAATTTTCAGATTGCTAGCAGTGTGTTTTAGAGGTGCAAAACGTGCATGAAGTGTATGAATTCGTGTGTTGTTGCAAACCACCTACCAGCCATTATATATGAGGATTTGTTGTGTGTAAATGGTGAATTAATGGACCTGAACGTTGGACATCAATAATCAGTCCGTTGGGCATTGAATCGTCCATAAACTGTCCATTTAACGCTGCATTAAAAGATAAGAACGTTGGACATTTATTGTTGTAACGGTTCAGATGCGCGACAGAAGACCTCCACCAGAACACCCCGGGAGGGGTTCTGTTCCGAGGCCAACAGAACACCCTGGGAGGGGTTCTGTTCCGAGGCCAACAGAACACCCCAAGAGGGGTTCTGTTCCGAGGCCAACAGAAGACCCCAAGAGGGGTTCTGTCATGAGGCCACCAGAATACCAACGAGGTGTTCTGTTCCGTAGGCTTCTGTTCGAGCACTTCTACCTCTGGGAAAAAATTTAACGTTTCGGGAAGAAAACAAAAATTAATCGTATCTCTTGAGAGATAGATTTTTGGACGACATTCGTGTCCGCAGGTTGCCCGCGCACTTTTACCGCTGGGAAAAAATTAAACGTTTCGGGAAGAAAACAAAAAATAATTGTATCTCTTGAGAGATAGATTTTTGGACGACATTCGTGTCCGCAGGTCGCCCGCGCACGCAAGTCGCGGTTTTTCTTCTCCGATTTCGGGATTTGATTTGCACCCCCCCCTGCGCGCGTGGAGAGAGCCTTTACCCTAAGGAATCTTAACTCCTTAAGGGGGGAGTCCCTTTATAAAGGGTTGCAAATCCCTTGGGTTTTCCGGTGTGGGAAATTAGCATACTAGAAACCATCATTTTTCCCAGTTTTCCCATTCTAACGGGTAAACTTCGAGAATCAATTTCTCATTCACCCGTTATCCGTTTTGAGCATACCATATATCGAATTGTAGCCCTTAACAAGGACAATCCGAAACCACTTTGACCCGACCCAAATCGAAAGTGGACCCCACTCAAAAAATTGCCCCAAAATTACCATTTAATGCAATTTTTCACACATTTTTCCAACAGGTTCAAGGTGAACCTCTACAACAGAGGGCTCAACTTGACAAGCCCGCGGTGTATCAACTGGGGGTGGATCCAACAAAACCAAATTATTCAACAATTTAGTAGTTTCCAACTCTTTCTCAACTATTTTACTCTTCTTTTTTAGCTAGCTTCTCTCAGATAAATGGGTGGTGCCCATAGTCTTTGCAATAAAAACAATAATTGGGAAAAGTTTCATATAGCACATGTTGGTTAAATACCTTTCCGGAAGGTAGCCGTATAGGAAAAAGTGGGGTGGCTTAGAAACATCAACCTCAATTAATACTCTAGCAAAGTCATGATTAGTTCTTTCTTAAGTGACATTGTCCGTTGTTATTGGGACCCCAACCATGGAAGCCACTTCACTCATAGCCCCATCGTTCCTTTAAGAATTCTTCATCCTCAAACGAGAAATCCTCTGACAGTACTTGAGCATCAAAAGTTTCCCAAAGATGGTGCAGGGTCCTTCATGTAAGACTTTAGTTCTATCCACTTTGAAATTTGAAGATAATCCATCACTTGTCTGGATTTCTTTATCCCCAACAGTCACTGGAGTATCTGACACCCTATGAATTTTAGCATCTAGAACCATCCCAACAATACTTTCAACCATCAAGGTTTTCCCAGGTTCCTGCAATTCAATTTCAGCGCTGAAAACATTCTTCGTAGCAGTCCCAGTAACCTGTCCAGCTCCA